ARARAAAAAAAAAGAAAAAGAATTACCCAAGAATAGAAGGTGGAAAATAGGAAAGTAAAACAGCTTCTAGGTGACATATCATAAATTTTTCAAAAATTTTAGGGAACATTGCTAAACTCCTCTGAGAGCTTCAACTTATTCATTAAAATGGAGAAAACAAAACCTATCCAATAAAAGTCCTTCAGGGAGTAAATGAGAGTATTATACTGGCACATAGCAAGTATAAACACTATTTTACTACAGTTCATGACTTTGCAGACTCCTTACACTGAAATATTTTGAACTCTTGATCTTTTATAAATGAAAAGTGTCTTAAAAGTTTGTAAACTTATTCTACCTCCGTTTACTGACTGGCATGTAACTTTATTCTGCTAACAAATCATCCTTTGATGATTTAGCAGAATAAATTTTAATCATAAATTTTGAAGAGGCTGAAAGTAGGGTTCAAGGATGGCAAAACAGCAAGTCAACTCAGAACTGAGGAAAGAAAATGAGAAAATACCTAATACAGGTCAAAAGAAATGAGGTATAAATGAGTAAATGAGTTGGTGGAAAAATATTATTATCTGAGAGTAAAATTTTAGAATTTCAAATTTTTTTAATGGAATAGTTTTAAGAGGCAATAACCCAACCACTCAGAAGATTGAGGCAGGCGGATAGCAAGTTTGAGGCCAGCCTGGACAACTTATTTGAAACTCTATCTCAAAATAAAAAATTAAAAGGATTGGGGATGCGGCCCTGTGGTAGTGCCCCTGCRTTCTATCCCCAGCACTGGGGTAGGGGAGAGAGATAATGAGGTCTGAAATATGGTTGAAAGTCAAATGGCAATAAAGGACTCTGACATGAGAAGCTTCAACCCAGGCAACTAGAAAGAATATGTAATTGGAAAAAATAGAAGACAAGTAATAAAAAGCAGAAGAATGTCTGGAGGTAGGGCTGTGAACAGTAAAATGGCTCTGATTTTAAAGGAGTGCAAGCTGTTCAAATGAAAGAGAAAAAGGAGCTGAGAACTGAGGATATGGAAGCCCCTCCCTACCTTGGAAGAGTTAGAAAGGATGATTTGTTAGCAGAATAAAGTTATATTCCAGTTAGTAAATGGAGGTAGAATAAGTTTACAAACTTTTAAGACACTTGCTAATTCATTTATTAAAAAAAAAAAAAAGATCAAGAGTTCCAAATATTTCAGTGTAAGGAAAAAGTCTACAAACTCATGAAATGTAGTAAAATAGTGTTTATACTTGCTATATGCCAGTATAATACTCTCATTTACTCCCTGGAGGACTTTAATTGGACAGGTTTTGTTTTCTCCATTTTAATGAATAAATTGAAGCTCTCAGAGGAGTTGAGCAATGTTCCCTAAGCTTCACAGTGATTAAGTGGGAAAGATGGCACATTAAATGTGGCCCAAAGCACCCCAAGGCCCAAGCTCTTGACCCTCCTATTCTTTGCTTTACATCTGCATAAAGCTTTTTCTCCTTTCACATGACAAGCTAGATTCCAGTGTCTAAAAAGCCAAGTTGTCGTCATCATTTACCAGATGCTGGTTGACTCACTGTAGCCCACTACAGCATGACAGCCTAAGGCTTTAGCATGTGATTTTATTTCTTGTCTGATTTCTGCCCACCATGCGTCTCGAGTTTCCGGTTCATCTGAAAAATAAATTTTAAATCAGTTCACTACTCAACAGCACATTGTCTTTATGAATAAGCAATGTTGAAAATAAACATACTATTTGAGATAAAGAAGTACTGCTCTACAACATTTTTAAACTTAACATCTTTAAAATGCTACTTCTCAAAAAGCAAAAGATTTAACATTTTTAAATTGGTTGCTAGAAAACAAACCAGTCATCTGTTTGCTTTATTACTTTAAGGGACACCTATAGGCATGTATTTTATTAGATACAACTTAAAATGTAGATCTAGAGTTTCCAGATTCTAACCTTCACCAAGATAATACCCTATGTCTCACCTGTGTGGCTTATGTGTCACATCCATAAAGTTAATAAAAATTCTGATTTCATTTCTTTTTTTTTTTTTATAATCCACTATAGTCTAGGTTTTTTCAAATACAAAGACTTRTCAATGTTTAAAGAAAAAAAGTTGTGCTGGGTCTGTAGCTCAGTGGTAGAGTGCCCGCCTTGCACGTGTGAGGCACTAGGTTCCATCCTCAGCACCACATAAAAATACAGTTATTGTGTCCATCTACAACTAAAAAAATATTTTTTTAAAAAAAAGGGAGAGAGAGAGAGAGAAAGCTATATGCAGCCATCCTTCTACAGAGATGTGGGTGCTAGATCAAGTGACATGAAATAAGGGGAATGGTCAATAAAAAAAAGAAAGCAAATACRTCTAAAAGATTATATATATATATTTGGCTAATATATAGAAGGACAAATTTCAGATTGAACATAATAAACTTTTATATGGCTCTTTACGTCTGAGGCTGTATGCTCAGTGGTAAAGTGCTTGCCTAGCATGTGGGAGGCCTGGGTTCAATTCCTGGCACTGAAAAAAAAAAAAAGACAAGAAAAGCTTAGACTAGCAGAATTATATTTTATTGCCACAGGGAAGTCTAATATTGCTTGCAATAGAGCATTTTAAAAGTAATAGCTGTCACACATACTTCCTAATCACTTGCATTTAGCTGCAAACTATTGGTGAACAGCAGCTGCAAATTAGAGTTAAGTTTTTACCAGCAAAGATGTTAAAAACAGAACTCAACAGTCTATAATTAGCATATCCTGATTTGTTTCTTTTTGTGGCCTATTCCCATCTGGGAACAATTTGAAAACTTAATCAATTTTAAATAGGGTGCTAAGCTCTTATTGTAAAGTTTCCATAGAAAAAGAACTATTAAAACTGAAAACCAAACAATCCAACACCACTTTCTATTTTTAAATTGCAGTATATATCCATTTCAAAATAAGTAGAGTAAGTGGAATTATACTCACTATTAAAATAGTGAAGACAGCAAAGTAAAAAAGATTAGGAAGCTTGTTATAGGTCACATTCCTATGAAGTGATTGTTTCCTCCACAGGGAGGAGAGCAGCAAAAGGCAGAAATGAGGAGATAAAAGGCAGAACTAAAAATTATGCCAGCCAGTTCTTGAATTTAAGTTTTGGATCCAAGACAGAGCTACCCTAAAACTTTCTTTAAGAAGAAAATAAAGAATACAGACTTCAGGAAACTGAGGAAAGATCAAAGTACAAGATAAAATAAAGAAGGAAGAGAAATAGAAAAGACTACAATCTGTTAGCACTCAATACTATGAAATTAAGAAATGTGTGAAACAATTAGGAGGCCCTATTTTGCACAAATACTGCATGTCAAAGTTTTTCTTCACATTCGTAACTGAAATGTGTACATAAACAGCACAGATAGACTTTCAAGCTCAAACTTGCTTTTTCTTCTAAGACATACGTGCTTGTGTACCACTCTGAACATCCATTTAACATCCTTTCCTAAAAGAGAATCTTGTATAAGACAAACAATTACTCAAGTTGTTGTCCTCATCTATCAAATTATTTCTGATGCTGAGAAAACATATCACAAATAATAACAGAAATATAATTCAGTTTAGAAAATAACTGTTTTCCTAAAAGACTACATGAAATAAAAAGCCCAACTTCCTTAAACTCACTATTAGAATCTGCTACTTACTTTTTAAAGCACTTGGGAAGTTTAAAATATTATTTCCTAAAGCCAATAATTGTATACTATATTTTTTAAAAGAATAGATCTTCTTACAATAGGTTTGCCTACATCTATACCATAAGTAACATGCAGTAGCTTCTCTGGTTTAAAAACAAATTTTACAGGAAATAATCCACATTACTTTAAAAATTAATTTTAAAAATAGAGAAAGCTACTTATTATTGTAAGTTAAAAAAATATTTATTTAGAAATGGCCAACAATTTAAATGGAAAAATATGTAATAATTCCTATGAAATACGTGTAACCACATAGAATACAGAAGTTACCTTACATCAAACTTACCTTGGTATAACACATATAATAACCAGGTAATTAAACCAAACACCATGAAAGAGTAAGTGGTTGATTAAAAAAACAACAACAAAAAAGAAAAAACACGGAAAAGCTGAATGCAGCGCACGCAAGTGGAGCATTCATATTCTTCTGACAAATTCACAAGCAGCCTTTATTTTGACACATGAGCCACACAACTGCACATGGGAATGCCATTATTGTATTTAATAAAGTATTTACAAGTTTAATAAAAAGCTAGAGATTACACAGCATGGGAGCTAAGGAAGCAAATGGTATATGTCCATATCCAGATAATTTGTTAACTTTGGTTTTTGGCTAAAGCAAAAGCTCAAGGAACAAAGGGTTTGCAAAGCAGATTCAGCATACAGGAGCCAGGAACAGTGATATTTTGGCGCATGCTTGGATCAGGTGACAGTACAGACTGAAAACTATGGCAGCTCACTGAAATGGTTACAGAAAGTAATGGCCCTAGATTCTAGGTGAAAGCAAGGCAAGCATACAGTAGGGAGCACTTAATCACAAATTAGTAATTGTATTAACAATAATAATCTATAACAAGGAACCAAAGGATGAATTTTGTGTCTATTAAATTTAGGGGTTATTTAATTATAATAAAATTAAGATTAATCAATTTATTTAATATTGAAAAAAAAGTGAAATTGATCTTAAAGCCTTTATTACACTCAGGCCRGAGATAATCCAGAGAATCCTCAAGAGTAATTATGATTAAGACTAATTTATTAACAATRAGATTTGAGATATATCACAGTATTTAATTACTATAATAGAATTTTTAAATTTAAAAACTGCTAACTATATTTTTATAGGAAACACACTATTGAATCTGAATTGTTTTAATTCACCCTACAAAGTTAGAAAATTGAGAATCTACCATAGTAATATAAAGGCAAAACAGAGTTTGGCTCAAAAATTTATGGCAACTATACCTGCCACATATGAAACTGGATACAATTTGGTTATTTGAAGGATATACAGCTGAGATGTGAGCTCATCTTGAATAGACATTTCAAAGATATTTTAAAAAAATAATATATATACACATCTTCACTTTAAAYACCATGCTCCTCCCAATAAACTATAGAATTGTTTATAAGATACCTTTTAAGAAAAATTAAAATTTAATTATTATATAAATTATATTTCACACTATTTTAAGTTTTTTTCTATGGATCTAAACTCTTCATAGATAATATCACAAATCTTTTAATATATCCTTTTAATTGCAGGATGAGCTGAGCTCTAAATCAGTATCTCCTTTATGTCTCTTTTAGGGATAATGTTAGCACATTCAGGCCAACATCAGAATTAATTCATTTATACTACTATTACTTTCTAGAGCCCGATCACAGCTTGATATCTTGCCATCTTTTTATTATTTTATATTATTTCTGAAGTGCAGATGAAACGGGTAAAGATTCTTAACAGTTTGTATCTCAGAAAGTAAAAAACTGGAAAACTCAACATAATGTGCCTTTATTAAACTCAATCCCTTTGAGATTTTAGGTTGGATCAAGTAAAGGTTTTAAATACAATGATAATCTATCTCATTAAGAATAGCATGAAAAGCTATATTCCCAAATACCTGAAAGTAATATTCCAATCAATAACCTTAAGAAAGATACATTTCTCCTAATGAAAGAGAAATAAGAGATTTTAGGTTCAAAGAGTTTATAACCTCAAACGAGGTGGGGATCAGTAATAGACTAAGAAAAGGAATCTCATTATGGAAGATGTCATGTGAAAATACAGAGCAATCAAGACCTAGTTAGATATTTGGGATGTTAGGATGGTAGCTGGCATATAACCCATGTTGGACTATACTGGAGTCTTTGTCACTTGTTTAAAAAAAAAAAAAAATTCTGATATGTAATCTACTCAACTGTGGAATTTCACTGTTTCTATATATAGTGCAACTACGTATTCATTATTCMAAAATTACGGGTAATATAGAAAAGCTCATATATTATATCGGTATATTTATGCATTCTTGAACTCTACGTACTTCCTGAAAACTTTTTAAAATACTGACAATCAAAAGTTGTTCAACTACTTTAGATTTAGTTTTTACACATCTGCTCATAAGTACCTCTAACATAAAATAAAAAGAATAATTACTGAGATTATCAGATGAATTCAAGTTGCAAGAGAACCTACCACCCATCTCCATTTATCTAGCACACATGTGTGTGCATACACACACTCCACACACATACACACACAAACACACACCAGAAAATAGTATAAGAATTAGCCAAGACCAGGTGTGTGAAGAGGACATCTGCCTTGCAGTGTTCTTTCCCCAGAACCAAATACAGTGCTCCCTCACCTTGCAGGCACTCCACAAATATTCCCTAAATGAAAAGATTTTACTAAAAATTAAAAAACAAGAAAAAAAATTTAGATAAGCAGACTGACATACATATTCTATAAATATTGTTAAAATTAAACGTTTTGTGAAAATATTCATTTTTTTTTAGTTTTTAACTAAATTTTTGCTTCCAAAATATGATGAATTCTCTAAACAAATATTTCGATAGCTAATAAAAAAATTTTCTAATTTCAAACAACTATTATAAAATTTTACCTTATCACTAGTAAAAATTTATTGTGTAGTAA